ACTTGTGTGTGCAAACTGTGGCGGCGACCACCCAGCTAGCTACGGCCGATGTCCAGCACGAACAGCTGCGCAGCGAAGAAATAAGACGTTTGTCCTCGGCCCGAAGACTGTGAACGAACCATCGCTCACAAAGAAGACGTCCGGCGCGCCACAGCATGGCGGTTCGGATAACGAGTACGCAGGAAATTTTCCGCGCCTAAAGCCGACAAGAGCTGGTACTGAGTCAACGCAAGTGCTCAACGCTGGTGAGAAATGTATCACGCAAGAGTCCGCCAAGCGCACCTACGCTGATGCACTGAGCCCACCTCAAGTACCATCTGGAAGCCAACAGCAAGAAAACCTCGAGCACGTTATTCGCGCTCTGTTCACCGCACTACGTTCACACGTCGCTAAGATGCCTGCGAGTTCAACGAAGGATATGTTGGAAGCAGTCCTGGCTCTAGAGTCAGTGTTACTTTGCTCTGCTTCCACAAACGCACAGTAGAATAATGGCAATGTCTCGCCCACCTGGTCTATTTCGTCCTTCAAAAGTGCCCTTAATAATGCAATGGAACTGCGCCGGTCTTCTAAAACGCCTGTGTGAACTCAACCTTTTCCTGCGCGACATTCCAATACCGATTCTAGCCCTCTCCGAAGCCGGTCTACCGAATGCAAGGACGCTCCCAGGGTACACCCGACACGGCAACCCGAGCATAACGTCGTTTGCAAATGGAAGCGCAATGATATACATAAGGCGGGAAATCCCTCACGTCGCCTTACCAGTGCAAGACCTCTGTTCCAACTCACTGGAAGTCACTGCTGTGCAAGTGTGCCTGGGAAACCGAAAACTGAGTGTGGTATCGGTGTACATAAGCCCACGAAAAAAGGTCTCTATGGAAACTTTCCTAAAGGACCTTTGCACTCGATGTCCCGCACCTCGAATAATTTGTGGTGATTTTAACGCGCACCATCCACTCTGGGGAGATAAGAGTGTCGATTTTCGAGGCAAGGAACTTCTAGCAGCTGCGGATGCTGCCGACTTATGTGTGGCGAACGATGGTAAACCTACATTTTTCAGGCCACCAGATTCATGGAGTGCAATAGACCTTGTACTTCACTCCCCGGACCTTCTGGTATCATCGACCACGGCTCCAGACAAGATGGGCAGCGACCATTTCCCCATCTTCACCAATATCCTGGGATTTCGAACTGCTGGTCGACAATTCTGCAATGTAACACGCTGGGACACCTACAGAGAAGTGTTGGACAAATCCACTGGTGAGCTGTTCGCAGATATGTTGCAAGGCAAGCGATCAGCAACTTCATTGCTGAAACTGCCCGACCATTTTCCTGCTCCTGACTTGAAATTGAAGAACCTCTGCGCAGCACGTAGACGGGCGGAGCGGAAATTAATGAGAACAAAAGGAAATCCGTCTGCGAAAACCGAATATAACAGGATAAACGCTGCGATTCGTCGCCATACAAAAAAATTAAGACGAAATCAATGGGCCGCTTTCTGTGAGAGTTTATCAACGTTTACGCCCTTGACAAAGATATGGGCAGTAATAAATAGTCTTTCTGGGAAGATCCGAACACACAGGCCATTCGAAGCACTCGCTTTGAAACAAGGGATAGATTTGCAAACCCTTGCAGAGGATTTCGCAGACGTGTACATATCTGGTAGATCAGCAGGAGCGGCGATTCCTCTGTCACCCCAGTTTTTTCACACGATGGATACGCCATTCACCTTCCGTGAGCTGGATATGGCACTTAGCAAATTAAGAAGACGCTGTGCCGTGGGTCCCGATTTGATCAGCAATCAAATGCTGACAAATCTACCATATGAGCGAAAGGGGGCCCTTTTGGACATATTTAATCATGTCTGGAACACGGGAGAGATCCCATTTGTTTGGAAGACAGCTTGGGTGGTGCCAGTCTTAAAGTCCGGAAAGAATCCTGTGAGCCTCGCGTCATATCGACCGGTATCTCTTACATCATGCGTATCTAAGCTGATGGAAAGATTAATATGTACAAGATTAACTTGGTACCTTGAACAAGGAAGATGATGGCCATCGTGTATGACCGAATTTCGCCCACGACTGAGTGCCCAGGACAGTGTTTTGGACCTATTAAGCCACATCGAGCACCACCGTGTCAGCGGACTCTCGACACTCGCCGTCTTCATGGACGTTGCCAAGGCATATGATTGTGTGCTTCAGGCAGGCATCGTGAACGGGCTCCAAGCCATGGGTGTGTCGGGAAATGCTCTTCGGTTCATACATGAATTTCTCAGAGACCATTGTGTCCGCGTTAAGCTTGGAAATGTAATGAGCGAAGAGAGACGCGTTTCCCTCGGCGTCCCACAAGGAAGTGTTCTATCTCCCTTGCTTTTTAACGCTGCCATGGCCAGCCTTCCCGACACTCTGCCCTTAGCTCTGAAAGCAGTTAAAATATCCATCTACGCCGATGACATCTGCATTTGGATCTCAGGGTACCAGCACAAACGTTTGGCCCGGATAGCACAGAGCGCTATTTCAATCATTGAGCGTCACTTGTTGACACTCGGCCTATCTTTATCAGCGGAAAAATCGGCCTTCATGCTCTTCCCGGGAGCGCGACGGAAGTCAACACGTCTGTCGCTGAATATTCGAGGCCACTCAATTCGTTGTGCAACAAGTGTCCGTTTCCTGGGCATTACCATCGACAACAAGCTATTATGGCGACGTGCGGTTGATGGTATAGTCACTGCATCAGTGCAAAGGATCAACGCTCTTCGTCGCATGGCAGGGGTCCGTTGGGGCAACAATCCTATGTCCATGCTTAAATTAAATGATGCGCTTATAACAAGCCACATCATTTATCAGCTGCCCCTGATATCACCATCACCAAGCCAGTTCGAACGCCTAGAGGCAGTGCACAGAAAGGGCCTTCGCTTGGCGATGGGAGTCCCTCAGGCGGCTTCAAACACGAAGGTCACCAATGAAGCCGAGTCTCTGCCGCTCCGCCTTTTGGCATCTCAGGCCTTATTGACGCAGCTGTCAAGACTGGGCGAGTCCTTCGCAGGCACGGCGCTTCTCCGGCGGCTAAGAGCAAGAACTGGCTCACATTTCAACGTGGCACTAAACACATTTCATTATTTAGGCTTGAAACTGCCTAAACGGCGCCCTATGGACCCGCCATGGTCTTTTGTGGATGTTGCGTGCAACTTCAGCGTACCCAAGCTACCAGCGAAGCGCACCGTTCCAGCCGCGGAAGCAAAATTTCTTGCGCTGGACCACTTGAGCACCATGTACCGCGGCCACCTACAAGTGTACACCGACGGATCAGCTGCGCTGACCATGCAATGATTGCACGGAAAGGCGAGTGTTTCCGACGCTTTGCTAAGAAGACATGGTGGTGGCCCCTACCCGTCGCTTAGCGTTTTACGCCTTATCACCTCTGAGACGGGCACGCACGCCCGTCTCAGGGCCACGCGCTTTGTTTTTCAAAAAACACTGCCAGATGGCCCTCATGTCTCATAAGGGACGTGACTTGATGTCACAGAACGAGTGCTCAAAAAGGGCGCGCCGCCAAATTCTCGCGACGAAACACGGGAGAGACGCCGCGAGGTCAACGAAAAAAAAAGAAAACAAACATCTAAAGACTCCCTGCGCGCGACTCCATCCCCTCGGAAGCGTAGGTTCACCGACGAACCTCCTCACCCCACATCGGCGCCCGAGCAAGCTCTCGAAATTTCTAGATGGAAAGGGGCGTGGTAATGCCGGGTTGAGTCATCCGTCGCGGACGGCCCTCGTATCGTCCCGAGCTTTCCCCCAGCCTTCGCTGCGTATCGCGCCGACGAAATGACGAGAACTTTCTGGAATCTCGCGCGGAAGGTATTTAATGGAGCAGCCGAGGTGAGAGATCAGGAGAAGACGTGAGGTTTTCTGGAAGGGAAACTTCGGAGGAGAAGACAGAAGTTAGCGCCAGAGCGCGTAGGGATTCCGCCGTGTAGTCGGCGAAGGTTTTGTCCGTAGGGACAAAGCAGGAGAAGAAGAGGATTTCCACTTGAGGGGTGAAGGCTCGAGCTACAGGCAAGAGCGTGTGTCTACCTCTATCGAGCGAAGGCGCGTGGCAACAGCTGCGTGTGTGAAGCCGACGTGTTTCCGGCGAAGAAGTTTGAAGCTTGTAGAGTGGCCTATTGAAGACGTGAGGTTTCCTGGAAGAGAAACTTCGGCGAGGTTTCCGGGAAGAGAAACTTCGGGGGCAGCGGAACGACAACAACGCTGGACTTTGAGTGAGTGATTCTCGTAAGAGTATCATCCAGACTTTTGTCCCAAGAACTTTGGACTGAATAGGTTTTCTATCTCTTTAGTCTTTAAGTGTCTTGGTTGTTCAATGCATGCGACTGCATTGTAGTGCGTATTTTTGTCAGTGTCCGTTGTTTCGAGTGTGGCTGATTGTACTGTGTAGTACGTTGTTTGGTGGGGGACATATTGTATTCAACTATTGTGGAGTGTGCATAGTTGTGTATTGTTTTTGATCTGCCATTACTGAGAATATAATTCTGTATTGTTTATCAACTCTTGGCTCTGACTTGTTCTTTGGGCCACAGCCGGCGTCCGCTGGCACGCCAAAAAGGACCACTTCTAATTGTCCACGCTTTCGTGGTGCGGTTCGGGGGGCCGATACTTCGGCCCTTGGAATTAGCCTGGCGATCTCCTCCCTAATTAACCGGACCTGTGTGACACTTGATGCGCTCATTCGCCTCCGCTGCACGTTCGAGGCACTCTAACGCAGCGCCTCCAGAATACCATTCACCGATTTTCTTGCGCAGAACATCAAATAAACGTTTTGTTCACTCTCCACACGCAAGACTATGGTCTTTTGACGACATTTGCGGATTACATGCAGATACGAGGCCATTTTTCCTTCTTTTTTTTTTCGAATGCGCACCTTTCTCAGGTGATCGCGCGCGCGCGCGTGAACAAGCCGCGACCTCCCGCGGCTTGTCCACGTAGAAATAAGAGTAAAAGGCGAACCTGTCAGCAGAATGGTGAGCAGGAAATGACCCAGGTAGTTACTTTGCAGGCCCACCTCGTAGCCGTCCTCTGTGAGAAGCAGCTTGTCTGCATTGCAAGCAACGCCACGCCGTTATGAGCGGCAAGAGGAGCGCAACTCGCTGCTGCTATATACTTGCCCGGTATGTTGCCCGCGTTATTGACGAGAACATCGAGCCTGGACTCCGTCCGGATGATATCTTCCGCGAAGAGCCGCACCGACTTGAACGAGCACAGGTCGAGCTGCTTGACGAGCACCGTTTCTCCCGTATCGGCAAAGATTTCTTGAGCCGCCTTGTGGGCCCGCTGTACATTTCGGCAGGCCAAGATGACGCGGGCCCTCCGCCGAGCCAGTTCCTTGGCCGTCTCCTTGCCGATTCCTGGAAATTTTCGCAACTGTTCACAGCGAACATGCTACTGCTCGAATTGTAGAACGTACAGCAGAAAAAAAAGAACAGCGCAGCCTGCTTCAATACGAGCAAGAATGTGTCCCAGAAGAGCTGCAGGCTTGTCTCTACAGCTGGTTCTGACTTGCCTAGGCTTTTACCTTTCACCTGACTCTTCGCCACCGCTTACTATGTTAGGTGTTTCTGCCCCTTTCTTTCTATATGTCTATAGGTAAACCTCAACCGTAACAGCCCGCTGTAAAACTCCTGTATGTGCCACAGAAATAGCTCATATCCCACATAACGCCACCCTGCTCCGCTAAATGTTAACAAAGGAACACTCGAGGAACGCTCAGCATAGGCCGCACGCTGTAGCTTCTCTTGTCAAGGGCATGTACACGCGCTAGCCGTTCAGCCACACCGCACGTGGTGGGACACGTGCAGCACGCAAGAGGAGGGCGAAAACGCGTCGCCGATCCGTTCTTTCGCCTTCCGCTTGCGTGCTGCACGTGTCCCACCACGTGCGGTGCGGCTGAACGGCTAGCGCGTGCACAGGCCCTAATCATGTGCATCGAGTGCTTGGGCGGTACCGCGCATCTCGAAGTGAGGCTAAAAGGACTAGAATTAACGACAATAGCATAAATTATACGGCACTTTGGAGCACTTACGATTCCATATCGGCATTGCAAAGTACAGCAAGAAAGTTTTTTTTAAGCAAGAATTTTGTTCTTAGGCATAATTTAACCCTCAAAAAGCGGCGCGCAGCCTCCCTCCCGACAATCACGAGGCAAGTTAGCTCCATCAGATGTGCCCTTGGAGCCTCCTACTTACGCACCAGCCTGTGTGGCCGATGTACGCGCTATCGCAGGCCAGTCGAGTTTGGGGGGGGGGGGGGGAGTGTTTATGTTTATAAGAAGGAAAAGAAGGAAAAAGTGAGCCCCGTGACTGTCTACATCAGGGTGCGACACCTCAACAGTAGCTCACAAGGGATGGGGGTGAGGAGGGATTAAAAGGATAGGAATAAAGGTGTTGAGAGAGAGAGAGAAAGAGAGATGCGCTAAGCCAGCGAGCGAGGACATATCGAGGGGATAGGAGAGATGGGAGAGATGGAAACAGTCACAGGAGTCCGAGGACGGGGCACCACTTTCGAGAGCTCTTGTCGGCGTCAGGAGATGACGTAGGGCAAGTCCAGTAGGTCAGAGCTGCGCTGTCGTCGGAGATCGGCGTCAGGAGATGACGTAGGGCGAGCCCAGTCGGCCAGAGCTACGCTGACGTCGGAGATCGCGAGGGCACAACCGGTCGGCACGGAATCCAGCGAGCGAGTCCCAGTCGAGTTTGGTAAACCACGTTTCCAGCATGACACCTTATGGTTTCCACGCAGCTTCGTAGAAACGGGGAGTCGGTTAATGTCACGCGGCAAACGGGGACAAATATTTGAAAGTTTGCAACGGCGAAAACTCAGAGTTGCACCCTGTTTTGCAGCAACTTACATCAATATACATCTTTAAATATTTTCCTCACGGCATCTATGTAGATTGCTCTTTAAACGCCTGTACCACCCTTTTATCATTAAGAATTTGCACCAACCCTTCTGCCACTGTAAACAGGCATACTTTCTCAGTTAGCACGTGAAAGCAGAGATAATTGATGATCGTGTGGCATTGTACATCACGATTAGTATGATGACAGAAAAAGCGGCTGCCTCTTATTGGAGACGCTCAGGCCGGCACCTACCTGAATTGCTGCCGGTCACGATAACGGTCTTTCCGAGCATCGATACATTGCCTGCGGTAAATGCCCTTGTTGTAGAGCTGATACACTTTGATGAGCAAGCCTGCGACGACCACAACTAGCGCACATCTCACCAACCGGCTGCCCACGAAGGAATCTCCGGACGGCATCCGCGTGTACCAGAATCATGTCCGAGTCCGTGCTGTGAAAGAAGCGCCAGTGTCACGACATCGTTGCACTCTAGATTAACTGTAGACTGAAAGGACATACAAACAGAAAAGCTATACAGGTAGGCAAACAGCTATGATAGCACGAAGGCTGGACAGACGAATTATATGGGAGGAAACCACGTAAACCTTCTGGTGACCTGTTTGACAAATACTTTGATTTTTTTGTGGCTGGTGTTTTCATAATTTCTTAAAGGTACACTCAAGGCGAATATCAAGACGATGTTAATTATTGAAATAGTGGCCCAGAAACCTCGTAGTGCTAGTTTTGTGCCGAGGAAGTGTTTATTTTGAAATAAAATCATGTTTTAATGGTCCGCATCGCGTTAGGGCAGTTCAAATCATCCGCGCCTGAAAGCGGTCTTTCAGACGTCACTGTTACCAAGCCCGACGTTGCCCGCCGCCGACACCACTAGCAGCAGAGTGAAAGTAGAGGGAGCCACTGCAGTAGCAACGACCTTTGAACGATTCTCTACAATCTTGGAGGCCATGATTCTGCTTGCTTGCTTCAAATGGGCCCTGCTACATGGCGCCACCTATTCAGATTATAGCTAGCCAAAAACTAAACTTTTGAACCACAGGCATTGCGAATACGGTCATGGCATTGAAACGTCCGAGAAGTTTTAGGGTTATGTCCTCCGAGCCGTGGCTGCATGACCCGATGGCATCGCCGCAAAGCAGCAAGCTGAAGTTTAACCACACCGAATCAAGTTGAAGTGCTCGACTCGTTTTTTTTTCGGCTTTCGTGTAATGCTATCTCCCTCTTTCTCGAACGCTGCTGTGTTCACCAGCTGTGACTTGCTGGGAAACTGATACAGTTTTACACGTGAAGAGCGTCTCTTGGTGTTGTCTGCATTGTTGTGGCAGCCCACAGCATAAAAATACTTCGGATCTCGCCGATGCTTCCGTCGGGCCGCTTCTTCCATCGCGGAAAGGCAACTTCGCACGGCGAGCGTCTCGTTTTAGCACGCCAAGCTGACGGCATGGCGCCTAACGCACCGACTGCCGAATGCGTTGCACGCGTGTCGCACGCGCTCCCGTTTCGGCGAAACACACTGACTCGCCTGCGACCTCTCCCGCGTTTATCCTCAAGTTCTCTGGAGCTCACCACCAGGACCAGGCGCAGCGTTGTCATCGCACCAGATACTTGAACTTCGGTTCCCGCCATGGAGGAAGGAAAAACAGTTTTTCCTTCCTCCATGGTGGTCGCCGAGTAGCGAGAGCATGCGACGGACGCGAATCACATCGGCTCCGGCTCAGGTTCATTTTCCAGAATAATTTCTTCCTGGCGACCTGTTGAAATGATAGGAACTTGTTCCTAGCATCACCACTGTCAAGCCTATACCGGACTTCAACCTGTGAGTGCGCTTTTAAACGTCTTAACGCTTTCGAATGTTCTTGAAGAGGTCCACCTCGCTAACCCTTACAAGCCGGAGACGCGGCTTGGACAGAACGCCGCCCCGCTCTACAGCGGATGGCGAGCGTCTCTGGGAGCGTCGCAGCCGACGAGAAGCACTCATTGTACTCTCGCTCCACGGACCACATTATGGATACGCAGACCAGTCAAGACGCCGATACGCAGGTGAGCAATGAGCACAACGCACATCCATGGATCACTGTTACCAAGAGAGCAAACAAACGCCGACAGCTGCAACCCCATACCGTACCGACTCAAAAGCTGCCCAGCACTTCGTCTGAGCCCGCTCTACGCCAGAGCCGGCCTAAGACGCGTCTACCAAGACTCCCACCGCTCCCTGCCGAGGACTACAAGCTAGCAATCCGTCCCCGTGGTGGATTAAATCTAAGCAAGGTTAGCCCCAAGACGTTACTTCTCGCCGTAGTTCATGCAGCAAATATACGCAGTGAGAAGCCTGATATCAAGCTTCGAGTTGACGAAAATCAAAATGTGCTAACAATAAGCACCTCATCTGAACACATCGCCACGGCACTTGGACAAATCACCAAAATTACAGTACACGCAGCAACCGACGACATCACCTCTTATGGTATTGCGCCTGATAATTCGTGCAAAGGGGTGGTCAACGGAATAGGCCATGAAATCACACCAGACGACTTCCTGACAGAAGTTGAAGTACCGGGCTACGAGGTCCTTACGTGCAGACGCCTCGGCAACTCCGGAGCAGTGGTGCTCAGATTTTGTGGCAAGCGAGTCCCTTTCTTCGTCAACGTGTACGGACAGGCTCTTCGCTGCTACCTCTACAAACGGACTATTCCCCACTGTAGAAAGTGCAACAAAACAGGACACCGCGAGGATATGTGCCCACAGCCTCCTGACACACCGAAATGTCGAGTGTGCGGGGATTCACTATCACCCAACAACCACGAGTGCCACCCTTCTTGCATGCTTTGTGGTGGCGACCACCCGATGGCTGCCAAACCATGCCCAAAGCGGTTTTTGCCACAGTCAACCGACGGAAACCACCCCGGTCAGCTACTCCCACCAAGAAGGCCCAGTCACCATCTGCCAGCCCCGGACGGCAGAGCAGTGCGTCCGGGAGTGCAGCCAGGTGAAGGAGCCATTCCAGGGATAAGTCGGGGCCCAAGCGAGGAAACTGGTCATCGCGAAGCGGTTTCACTGGCCAGCCGGGATCTCAAGGCTGGCACATGGACGGGACAACTTATCATCATGGCCAGCAAAGCGGTTCCCACAAGAAAGCACAAACGGTAAGCTGGGCAGGGCAGTTCCCTCCTCTCCCTCCCTCTCCACACCAGTCCCAATCCCTCACACAAACATCAACGCAGGAAAGAACACCACAACCAACGCCACATAGACTACCCCAACCCATGTCAGTAGACACTCAGCTTCACCCTGACATGTTGTCAACTACGTCACGATCCGACTTTTGCACACGAGAGGCGTTGAACGAAATGGCTACTTCTTTAAGAAACCAAATTGCAGCTATGATGGAGGTAGAAATGCAGGAAATGAAGAATAGCATTATGGCTGAACTAACAGCTCCACTTCAACAATTGATCCAGCAGGCCCTGCAACCTGCTGTCCAGCAGATTGTAACGGATGTTAAACAGCAGATATCGGCTGCACTTGGCCAACTTAATATTTCGCCATCTGCACCGAAACGCACCACCTCTCCGACACGTGAAACACAGCGACCGCATCCTTACATACGCCCCTTCCGTTTCCTATCACCGTCCCGAAAAACCGTCCCAACAGCCGCAGCTGCTGCAGTCCCGCTTCCCACCACCCTCCACCAATATTTAGCACAGTCTGAAATGCCTCCGTGTACTACCGAGGCCCCGCTATTGCATGATCATGGCGAGAAACCGTAGGTAAACGCGTGACACTCCTTAACTCCTACGTGTGTGGCAGTGGAATTGCTGGGGGTATCGTAGGAAACGCGGAGCTCTAATGCAATTCATTGCGACGCAGCGGATTACTCCCGATGTCATAGCGTTACAAGAAGTACAATGTACCCCTACGCTTCCGGGCTACACCACATACACGGACGTAACGAACAATACACAACATCGCACAGCTACATTAGTTTCTAAGCATGTCACTGTCATAGAACACACCCTACCCACAAACACCGAGCTCACTGAAGACGGATACCGCCAAGCAGAAGAAAGGGACAGCAGTCGCACCTTCCGAACAGTGGCCCTCTCTTCCACGAAGTCAACCTACTTCGGAGCTGCATCAAATCCGGCCGCCCTAGACGACCCCTCAAACCAGGGATGCGATGAATGAAGGTCAAGTGATAAGCTTGCTGCAATCGCTGATGAGCACCATGCGTGTCCTACTGAGTAATATGAAGACTTCGGCTGCGCAGACCGCACTGCGTGTGCTGGACACCCTGAGTCCGGTGCTTGCAGCTCTAAGGTAAAACCATGGCCAGCGAGGCACCGTCGTTTCGAGCGGAAGTCAAGAATTCATCTGTCTTTCAGTGGAACGCCAGAGGACTGAAGTCGCGCATGTCTGACTTTAGACAGTTTGTATTTGTGAACCGCTTCCCCATTATCGTGATTTGTGAACCCAACCTGTGTGCTTCAATCAAGCTGTCAGGATATGAGTGCTTTATGTCCTCCACTCACAGAGACTGCAGCAAAGTTATTGTATTCATGCGCCATGACCTCACTTACGTTCCCCACAGAGTCTCGCCTGATGAAGGGGATCAGTATGTGTGCCTTACTGTTAAGAAGGATAAGCTTGCTTTCACTATTATCGGAGCTTACTTATCTCCATCAAGCCACCTTGTCTGCGAGCGCTTACGCGGTATTCTGACATCGACTCCAAGGCCATGGGTGATCACTGGCGACTTGAATGCCCACCTTTTCCTATGGGGAAGCTCCAGGGACAACTCTAGAGGAAAAAAACTGGTGTCCTTAGCCTCGGAGTACGAACTCTGCGTTTGTAACGATGGAAGCCCTACATATTTACGCGGATCAGCCTATAGCAGCTGCCTGCACCTTACATTGGTTTCTCGCTCACTTACCAGGAAAGTGCACTGGTTTTCGTATCTGGAAACGCGGGGCAGCGACCATATACCAACTTACCTGTGTATAGAAGGTTTCACCAGCTCCAAGTCCTCAAGAGGCCTCAAGTACGCCGATTGGCCGAAATTCAAAATGTTAATGGAAGACTGTTGTACCGACGGCTCATCATATAACCTAGAGGACTCGATAAAGGATGTCCTGCAGAATACCACGCATACACATTTGACTAGTCGCAAGAGCACCGATTTCGACATCGAGCTTGAGAAACTTCGCGCAGTACGCCGTCGTGCAGAACGAAGGTACCGACGGACAAAGTGCATAGATGATCTGAGGCTGGCTAGACGCATTCAAAAGAAAATGCAGCGGCACATGGATAAACTGGCTAGGCGACGTTGGACATCCTTTTGCGAGTCGTTGGATCCACGAAAGCCCCTATCACTGATATGGCGAACTGTTCGGGGTCTTAGCGCAACCTTGGGTCAGCGACACCCGTTTACATCTCTGGCACTTCACCTTCAATGCAGAGAGATTGACGTCGCAGAATCTTTCTGTAGAAGAATTGCCGGTGATTCCAATTTCACAGTATCAAGAACGGGAACATTTCACAACCCACCGCCCTCACGTGATCCCCGTATGAAATGCCAGTTTTCTATGGATGAGCTAGAGGCGGCACTGGCTCTGTGCAGACGTTCTTCAGCACCCGAACCTGACGGCATTACCTATTGTGCCCTTTGTAATCTTGGAGACGAAGCTCGGAAGGCACTCTTACGCCTATACAACGACTCCTGGCAGACTGGTACGGTTCCTCAGGCATGGAAGGCAAGTCACCTCATTCCACTTCTAAAGGCTGGTAAATCTCCTTTGGATATTGCCTCATACCATCCTATCGCACTTGCCAGTTGTGTGGGAAAAACGATGGAACGAATGATTCTAACACGAAAGGAGTGGTATTTAGAGCACTACGAAATCTATCCAGTATCCATGACCGGATTCAGGCGTGGCCATTTGTCAATCGACAACGTTGTTGATCTGGTGACATATGTTCAACACCAGAAAGCCTGTAAGAGACTGTGCGCCGCCCTGTTTCTAGACGTTAAGGGGGCTTACGACAATGTCACCCATGAAGCCATCCTTAGTGCTTTGGAAACAGTAGGTCTTGGTGGCAAGATATATATGTGGGTGTACAGCTACTTACAGCCGAGATAATTTTACGTGATGACAGCGAATGGCCCAACACCTGATTATTAAAGCAGCCGAGGAGTTCCTCAGGGAGGAGTGATAAGCCCTACCCTCTTCAACCTCTCATTGGTCTAGTCGAGCAGCTACCTAGCACTGTAGAACTTTCTGTCTATGCTGATGACATCTGCATTTGAACATCAGGTGTGACAAGGCCTCAGCTTCCCGCCCGCCTTCAGAAGGCTGCTACAACGACGTCATGCTATCTTCGTAAACAAGGCCTCGAGGTGTCCTGCGGAAAATGTGCAGTGGTAGCGTTCACGCGGAAACCAATGTCTGCTTACAGAATATCGATTAATGTAGAATACATATCGTTCAGCAGAAGCCACAGGTTCCTGGGAGTCGTAATAGATAGAAACCTGTCGTGGACTCCACACGTGAACGATGTGAAGAAGCGGCTGATCGCAACATGCCACATGTTCAAATTCCTTGCAGGAAAGAATTGGGGAGTGCCCATACCATCCATGCTACAACTGTACAGAGTGCTGTTTATCGGATTCTTACGGTACAGCTTACCTGCAATATCTAACACCGGCAAGACCAACCTGTGCGCAATTCAGAGCATTCAAGCCCAAGCACTTAAGATATGCCTTGGATTACCCCGCAGTGCTTCAACGGCTGAAACCATTGCCATCGCTCAAGATCACTCGATAAATACGCATATTATTACCGAGACCATGCGCATGCACCTCAGGCATTATGCCAGGACCCCTTCTCACCACCTGGCGAGCCTAGCTGCTGAAAGGCCCCACACGACATACGGCACTATTGTCTACAAGCATCGTTTGCTGAGACATACGCACCTGCATCAAAGCCACTGCTTCCTCCTTGGAGCTTGAGCCGGCCGCGAGTTCATTTAATGATTCCAGGAATGAGGAGAAAATCGAAATTACCGACACATGCCCTGAAACAACTGAGTCTATTCCTACTGGAACAAAACTACAGTAACCACGTGCACATTTACACGGATGGCTCTACTACGCCGTCTAGTTCAGGTGGAGCAGTGGTTATACCATCCCAAGGGGTAACTCGGTGTTTTAAGACTTCACATGTGACAACTTCAACGACGGCAGAACTCGAGGCTCTGCGCAATGCACTGGAACACATCAATTCAGAAGAAAGACCAGGTAAATGGGCTGGGTTTTCTGACTCAAAACCAGCGTTACAGTGCCTGATATCAGTTCTCCGACGCGGATGTCACGACCAGTTGACCTACCAAACCGTTAAACTTCACCACCTTTTTAATACAAAAAGGCCATGACATCGTCTTTCTGTGGTTACCTGGGCATAGTGGTATAGGTGGCAATGATTCTGCAGATCATGCTGCTCGCACGTCACGTAAAGAAGCGAACAGCGTTCCGATTCCGCTTTCAAGAGCGGATGCGGCGAGGCAGATTCGTCAACTGGCCCGCAGTCTCACACTGACTGAGTGGAACACACCAAGCATACGACGTACAAGACTGCACGAGCTCGACCCTTCACTACAACTCCGGCCTCCACCCGGCCTACATCGACGTGCAGCTTCGCTTCTCTATCGCCTTTGGCTGGGAGTTGCTTTCACGAAAGCTTATACCACGTTAATTAGAATTACTGACAGTGCGGCGTGCGATGTTTGCGGCAGCGACGAAAATATCGAACACCTGCTGTGCCATTGTCCTCGATTTGCCTCAGATAGACAAGTACTTGCCAACGCAATGCGGCGACTGGATGATCGGCCTCTTTCTGTGCAGGTGCTATTACAGCAACGTTCACATGCCTCGACAGCCCACAAGGCAGTGAAAGCCCTGCTGTGTTTCCTGAGAAAGACAGGCTTGTGTGAACGCCTCTGACATGCAGTAGAGTTCTACACGCTGCAGTGAAATTACTGTCAGTCTCTCCCCCACCCTTTTTTTCTTTTCCCTCTCTTCCCTCTTTCTCGTCTTTCTTGTCCCCTTCCCTAATCCCCCAGTGTAGGGTAGCCAACCGGATGTCTTTCTGGTTAACCTCCCTGCCTTCTCCCTTTTTGTTGCTTCCTCCTTCAAAGCACCTTCATCTCACACGTACTTCTCGAATTAGTCCCGTGCTCTCGTTCCAGTAGCAGCCTGTACGTGCTTAACGTTTACAGTGCACCTAACGCCAGGAACGATGACTTCGGTCATCTATTTGCACAACTATGCAATTTGGGTAAACACACAGTTATTGTAGGAAATTTCAATGCCCCCCATCCGGCTTGGGGCTACGCAACAGAAACGCCTAAAGGCCGTCGACTCGCACAGGTTCTCGCAATTCATCGCATGACCCTGCTGACATAACCTGATTAACCAACTCGCCTAGGTAATAGTGTGAGCAGGGACACATGCCCCGACCTCACGATAGTCAAGGGAGTTAGTCACCATTCCTGGTGCAACCTCGTGGTGAATCTAGGCAGTGATCATTATATACTAACTACAGAGCTCCAAGTAGCAGCCACGCGTGCCGCAGAGCGCATCATAAAACTAACGAATTGGGATGCATTTAGGCGTAATCGTACAACTGCCCATCAGGACTCTCCTTCCCTAGAGGCTTGGATATTACAACTTCACTCCGATTTTCAAAGAGCTACCAAACTCGTCGCTGCGACGACAGAAACGCCGGATGTGGACCGGCATCTGCTACATCTCTGGGATGCCCACAGAGGCTTGACACGGCGGTGGCGGCGACAGAAATATAACCGAAAACTTCGTCTCCGAATCGCCCAACTAGCTACTGAGGCACATGAATATGCGAACATCCTTACTAGCAACAATTGGCGTAACTTCTGTGATCGACTCAACGGCTTACTAAGTACACCTCGAACGTGGCATATACTCCGTGCTTTTTTAAATCCCACGCAGACAAAATCACACACTGCTAACGCAATCCGCACCATTCTCCACAAATCAGGGCTCGACAATACCACTCTGCTGCACACCTTAAAGTAACACCATGTATCCACGGGCCCCCGACCCGCCTACCGTGATTATCCACACGTACACGATACGCCTCTAGATGAGGACAATACAGAAGCAGAGGTTAGGGCAGCTTTGCAAAGCATTAAGCGCAACACAGCACCCGGTACAGACGGGATTACGTACACACTACTGCGTAATTTAGATGACCAGTCCATCGAATATTTAACCGCTTTTTACAACGAACATTGGAAAAACGGCACGCTACCACAGGAGTGGCGACACGCAGAAATCATACTTATTCCAAAGCTTGGCAAGCCGCTATCCCTCCAGAATATTCGCCCTATATCCTTAACTTCATGTGTAGCTAAACTTTTTGAACGCGTTGTCCTCTCTCGATTACAACCATTTCTCGAAGACAATCACTTTTTTCCTGATACACTATTCGGCTACCGTCCTGGTATCTCTACACAGGACGTATTATTACAGCTTAAGGAGGACGTGTTGGACAGCCCCACTTCAAACCAGGTCCGAGCTATTCTGGCCCTGTATCTGAAGGGTGCTTTTGACAACGTCTCCCACGACCTTATTCTTGACAATCTCGCTTCATCTCAGTGTGGCTCACGTATCTACAATTACGTCATGTCCTTTCTTTCTGACCGCACGGCCACTATTGGGATTGGAGACCTCCGTTCGGACGTCATTCGTCTCGCAGGCAGAGGAACACTACAGGGCTCGGTTCTCTCGCCCACTTTGTTCAACGTGGCTATGACTAAACTCCCTTCCCTATTACAACAGGTTCCCAACATCCAGCATGCCATCTATGCAGATGAGATTACAATTTCGGCAACCAAAGGATCAGATGGAGCCATTCAGGACGCCCTACAGGAAGCTGTGTCTGTGGTACAAGACTATGCTGCTGCCGGCAGCCTTACGTGCTCAGTGGATAAGTCAGAGTTGTTATTGGTAAACAAGCGGCACCGCAAAACCGCTGATTCTCCTGACATTTCGCTGTTTCTTGATGGCCATCCTAGCCCTCTGGTACCACAAATTCGCATTTTAGGCCTCTACCTTCAGTCCGACGGTAAGGCCTCGCACACTACACACCTTCTGGCTCAGCAGATAACTCAAATAACACGCATGATCCAACGCATCACCAATCGCAGGAGAGGCCTCTGTGAGAAGGATGTCCTCCGCTTAGTACAAGCACTCATAGTTAGTCGGCTCACCTATCATCTTCCCTTTCACAATCTCACGCTAGCTCAAATCAAAAAGATGTACATCCGTCTACGGACAGCTGTGAAGGCGGCTATCGGCTTGCCTCCACACGCATCTACACAACGCCTCCTTCAATTAGGAGTCCACAACACCGTAACCGAACTCATCGAGGCCCAGCACAACAGTCAGCTCCAACGGCTCAGGCAGACCCGTCAGGGCTGCGCCATCCTGTCTCGTTTTGGCTACCCGATTCCCCAAAAACCCGCGCAAGTACCGCGACATAAACTTGCTTTTACTGTCCGCGCACTCATCAAAGTGCCTCCGATTCCACGCAATACGAATCCCTCCCGCCACGCTGGTCGTCGACGTGCCCGAGTTCAGGCTATGACACGCGTCTTTGGTGATGGTACCTCAGACTTACAAGTACTTTACACTGATGCAGCACGCTACCCAGAGAAGTCAGCCATGTGTTTAGCCGTGACAGATGACACAGACGCCCTTGTGGCATCTGCCACACTTCGCACTTCAGGCAGTGGTCTGGCAGAGGAGGGAGCTCTCGCTCTGGCAATTGTTCATGCTACGACACTGTCACATGACTCCCCTGTCAGTATTGTAACAGATTCACAAGCTGCTTGGCGTGCTTTCGCTCAAGGACTTGTGGCTGCACATACACACAATATCCTCTCTTCTGTCTCACCATCCGCATTACGTCCTGTGCGTATCGTCTGGACTCCTGGACATGCCTCTCTCCATGGTAATGAACGCGTTCATGCGGTTGCCCGAGAGCTGACCGGCCGGGCTCCATTGGAAGAGCTGTTCAACCCAGACGACGCATCGACAGAACCACTAAACTACAACGCTACGCTGGAGTACTACCGACAGAGCCGTTATACGTATCCTCCCCCTCATCCTTCACTTAACAGAGCAGATGCTGTCGCTCGGCGGCAACTACAGACCAATTCATTTCCTGCCTTTATATGCTAAATCGCTTTCATCCGACTCTCTACCACTCCTACTGCCCCTTCTGTGGATCCGTACTGACGGTGTACCACTCCACGTGGGAATGCTCTGCTCCACAGGGCGTTCCTCCCATTCCCAATCCCACGCCTTCCTCTTGAGAGTCTGCACTGCTCAGCTTACGCCGGCAGGAACAGCAGCAGCTGGTGCAGCGGGTTCGCAGGGTTGCGCAAGGCAATGGAACCCTGGACTGAGGGCCCCACCCAAAGAAGGCTCAGTGTGCATCTGTTATTATTAAATGTTTATTTTCTCTCTCTCTTTCTCTCCCCTCCATGGTTCCAGCAGCCAGGTTCCCTCCGGTCTGCTAGAGTGACCTAGAATATGGGGGAGTGTCCAAAGCGCCACGCCAATACATGAGGGAGTGAGGACCTTTTGCGGTGAACTTCCACGCCGCGGCGCTGTCGTGCCACACCCGCATGACGTTGTGAGAGGGATTTGGAAAGGTGTCATGGTCCCGGGTTTGACTTGTGCATGAAATCAGAAGGTCAAGCAAGATTGGAAATTAAACAACGTGGCATATGTATACTTGCTTAGGGAGCACACGGGAATACACCAAATCAGGGGGTACAGATTTACATGGAATGGACATCGTTTAAGTGCAGGGAAGCTAGCAGCAAGATATAATTTGTGGAGCGATTGAGAAACTTTCGAAGAGGAGCGTTGCGCTAGGAAAGTTTTCAGCTACTTGTACATGAAGAATGTTGATACTAAATGGAGGAAGCGAACTCGAAAACTGTCAAGCAAGTATTTAGACAACAGCAGAATACCAAGCTAAAAAGAAACATCGCTTAAGAAGAAGGTGAAAGAAACAGAGAGGAACATATGGAAGATGGGAATGCTTACGAAATCATCACTGGAGACCTACCGAACTTTTAAGCAGGAAATTGCAAGGGAAAAGATCTACGATATTTCTAGGGGTAATTCTCTGCTCTTCGAGGGTAGAACGGGAGTATTGCGGACCAAGACGTACCGAGCAAAATACGAAGGCACAGACACGGTTTGTAGTGCGTGTGGAGAGGAGGAGGAAACTGCTGAACGTTTGATAATGTTCTGTGAAGGGCTCCGCCCTATAGTCAAAGATAATGGCACCGAATTTTTCAAAGCATTAGGGTTTAGGGACAGTGAAGGCAAAATAGACTTTAAACGGGTAGAAATAACCAGGAGAAGGCTAACTGATTGGTGGCTACAATCGAGGTGCGAGTGAAATTCAATGCTTAAACACACAGTGATAGTAGTTAACTTCATGGCTAGGTGGCGTGAGCCACCACCCGATCTAAAGGGCACAGCCGGATACATACCTACACGCACATACATACATACATACATACATACATACATACATACATACATACATACATACATACATACTACATACAATACATACATACATACATACATACATACATACATACATACATACATACATACATACATACATACATACATACATACATACATACATACATACATACATACATACATACATACATACATACATACATACATACATACATACATACATACATACATACATACATACATACATACATACATACATACATACATACATACATACATACATACATACATACATACATACATCATACATACATACATACATACATACATACGTGGGCTTTTCCTGCGATTGAAGCCGCGGCAAATCGGCGGGCGTCTGCTGCTTTGCCGCGGCTGGTGTCATAACGCCGGTGACCCACCGAGATTGGTGTCGACCAGTCCCAACACTCATGCAGGGCCCTGACATTACGACAGAGACGATTTTCCCGGCACATGCGCGACAGGTTCACAGGATCCTCTCTCAAACGCTGACGTGATAGTGTTATGTATATGCCTTCACTTATTGAATCCACAAGAATAGCTTCACCGAGAGCGGGAGCAGCTTGCGTCAGCAACAGGACTCCAGTTTCTTCGAAAGTCTCCCGAATGGCAGAGATTAGGTAAGCAAAGTCACCTGGCAAATGATTTTCAGAACTGAGCTGATTGTGAGACAATGTCATGGGCTTTGTAATCATTGGAGGCCGTGGACCCTAGCCTTGTTGCAGACATCCCTGAGAAATGTTTTTTGTGGCACCCACAGCTGCAAACACCTCCCACCAATCAAATGGGAAGTCAAATGGCTCACAGAGGCCACCTGGGTACACATAAAAGTTGGCTATGAACGAGCTCAGGCTTGAACGCTTCACCACCAGCACACGGTAGTCGCAGCGTGATACACGCTCAGCCTGGCTGTTCCACACGGTGGCCATCGTAGCTGTTGCCAAGTCTTTTCCCACTATATCTCGCAATCGTGCACAGCTAACTACGATGAGGCTGGCTGCCTCCTTCCATGGTGGTGCTGACATGGTTGTACGCTCTGTACGATCAACAAGATATGTCACTGAAAAGAACTGACACGTGCGCACCTGGTTTGGTGCCGGAGTTTTTCGAGTTAGGAAGATTGGTCGCACGTCTCACTTGCATTGTACTAAACTTAGTGCTGCATGTTTATAAGTTACACCTATTTGGCCTATAAGTCCTGACGTTGCTAGAACAAAGCTTGCCGCACACCACTGGCCGCCGCGCGTATTTTGGCGGCTGTTAGCTAACATTGCGATAATTTTGGAGATATTGAATACTATACGTCCCTACAACGTAATACTGCATTGAGTCACTGCGCTTAGAACGCGTTTTTGCGGTGCGAAAGGTAGATCTGGTTTGTTTACGTCCAGCTGGTATATCACCGCAATGGTACACACATACTCGCCCATCTGAGGAACGCTTTCTGGACGCACTTTATTACGAGCGAATGGGGCCTAATTTAGTTACGTGGGGAATGACCAATGTAGATGTGCTACAGAAGATCATAAGCAAGAAATTGTATAAATAACTGTTGTATAAAAAATTGTATAAATAACTGAAATTGTATAAATAACAAAACAATGACGTTTCGGGACCCGTACGGGTCCCTTGTTCACAATGGAATGACGGCTGAGCAACAGGTTCTTATGTAACGTTGAGCGCATGACGCAAAGTCCGGGAGTACACGTGGTTTAGTGTGCCAGATGATCTATTGATTGTGTTACTTGTCGTCTGAATGATTAGTGATTCGAGGTTCAGTCTGGTTGTAAAATTCTTCTCCGTGGCTACGATGCGTGCGTTGTCCCAGCTTATCTCGTGGCCCGTCTTCTCGGCATGCTCTGCGAGTGCATTTGTCACTGTGTGGCCCTTGGCGACGCCATTCTTGTGTTGCATAAGACGTTTGCAGTAATTTCCACTCGTGCCAAGGTACACCGATTCGCAATCGGCGCATGGTATCTTGTAGACCACACCAGGAAAGTGTTGCCGAAGGAGAGGATCCTTCACATTTAGCAACTCAGCCTTAAGCTTGCTTGCTGGAACATGCGCGATCTGTACACCGCGTTTTCTGAATAGACGGGCTAGGGCTTCGCTTATATAAATATAAGTAACTATTATAAGTAATATAAGTAACTGTATAAATAACTATTGAAACGTAGTGGGTGTGTGCGCAGTAAGTGGCTAGCTCACGCTAATGCTTTTGAGGCCTCTTTTGTTTTGTGCGTTGGATTTTTTTTTGCTAAGTCCTGCCTTATCCTGTTTTGTCGGATAGTTGAAACTCTTAAATGGCTCATACAAAGCGGAATGTGCCCGTCGATGTGAGTGCGGTACTAAAAAAAAAGCCCCTAGGTAATTAGCGTAAGTCTAGTGTCTCGTTCAATTGGTTTATGATCGGCACCATTGTATGACTAACATGACTAATCGGGGACGAGATCAATAGCTGTACATGTTTACCTTTTTTTCCACCATCAGCAATAACAACTCGGCAAGGTCCTTAATTGTGATGTCGCCTTAGACAGCTCGACGAGAAATACACGTTGTTTTTCTTCAGTCAATAAATTTAGTTTACCCCCCTTCCCCTTCCCTCCCGAGAGATTTCTGCATGGAACGTGGTTTTGCACTACCTCTAGGGTATTAAGTACTTTAATTCAAACTTCTGCACCTCACTTTGTTTTGCACTGCATCCGTGATTGGTTGGCCGATCACGAAGACAGTGTAAGGCGACGTTGCCATAATGAGCTCACATGATGGCGTCACAAACTTTGGCAAATTTATGTCATGGTGACGCCATCACGAGATAATTTTTTGCATCACTCGTACGCACAGGCGTGCTCGTGGAGGTAGGGGGGGGGGCGCCTCCCTAGTCTCCTAAGAGGGGGGGGGGAGCACAAAGTGATCGCCCACTTATATTGACAATATATGGAGGGGGTGCTGCGACACGTGGGTGGCGGGCTCAAAGTCAGCCCCAAACGTTGACATAATAGGTATGGAGGCACGCTGCGATGAATCTTCAACCCCTGCGCCCTGACGGGGAACCGTGTAACCGTGTGTGCACCCCTGTACTCGTACGTGCTGTCACCACCGAGGTGGGACATTAACTACGACGGTCAATTGGTGCGTTTAATGAAGAATCTAAAGCTTTCGTCTTATAATATAACGTGTGGTCTGATTTGTCTCCACCGTATGATGGAAATGCGACCAATACCTATCTCGTTTACAACTTTTTTACCCGTAGATTTTGAAGAACTGAGCGTATTCGTAAAATATGTACAAAACAAATATTAGGTACGCAAAGAAACAAAACAATCAAATAAATGAACTTCATGTTACGAGCGAACGTGAGAAAACAAGCGTACGTGGTGCATTGATTGCTGACGCAGTTTTCACCGTGTGTTAGAAAAGCATAACACTCGGCGAATTTAACGCGTAAGTAATCTTTGGGGATTTATTTCGTATACTCGATGGTTCAGGCTTCGTAAGTACACATTGCTACCAATAATTAAATAGTTGGACTTATGAAAACGGATGACTAATAACAAGGGAATACTTTTTTCATGTTCTACCTTATTCGAAAATTTATTGCTGATGCGATTCCTCTAGGTAATAACAATCCAGACGCTAAAATGATCCCAGATTGCACTGTAACATACAGTTGCTATACTAGGCCTGCTTAAAATATATGTTACTGCATGGAACATTTTTTGTCAGGTTAGGCATGTGGGGCCTGCGTATTTCAACAATTTCCTAAAGTGACGGAACATCCTTACATCTGTAGCTGCTCGATGTATTTTGTTACAGCAAGTTAATATGCACAGCGAGAGTGCTGCTGTTTGTATCTTTAATTTAACGTTGTGTGGATATATTTAAGGCACTTTTCTATATTACGTATTTATTGTATAAACATAGAATAAAATGTTGTCATTCTGGCACTCCTCTTCTTTCGAATGTGTGAATTGAAAACAAGTTTGGCGTATGGCAAACTTTGTTGCTGTTACGCTAGGTCTCAAACAGAATAAGTTAAGAGAAATTGCGGTGGTACGGCCGTGTTCTCTTCCAGCTGTTCTGTGTTATTAAAAAGTAGTACTAAATGCTACCAATTATCTAATAGAACATGTGTGCGCGCCTGCGAACCACCGGCAACCGTGACTAAAAAGCCCGTAACGGTAAGTCAAGCGGTCACTCAACGCAAGTATTTCAGCTGACTGAAATGGTAATTTACTTTATTCATTGTACGTGGACGTTCGGCAGGGTTGGAGGGAGACGAGGAGGAAGAAGAGGTTAGAAATAAAGAAGATGGCTGACACCCCAGCCTAGTACTGTGTATTATTACAAATTGGCGCAGCCGCGTATACTTTCTGTGCGGACATTCAAGATGTGGGTGGACTTCACCATTGGAGCAAATCAACGCGGTGGCATCCGGATCTTGACCGCAACGCCTCAAGATGAAGAGGAACTAGCTCTTCCGGAAACAGTGAGCACTGACGCATTTGTTTCCTATATAAGCACTAAAATGAAGCTCACACCACACCATTTACTTGCTAAAAGAACGGTGAGGATCAACATGAAACTTCAGGATTATGAGAATTTCGTGCTGACTCCAGTAAGAAACGACGCGAAGCCTGCTACCGCTGCTTCGCCCGACAGTTCCGTCGAGCTGATCAACAAGTTTCTTGAACTGCACCAAGAACAGAATAGGCAGCAAAATGATTTAAGGAGCTTGCTTGTAAACGCGACGGAAAGATTAAGCAGACCGAGTCGTGAACAAGTGAAGCCAGACATGTTTGACGGAGAGTCTAGTAGTCCCGAGTCCTGGCTCACGTTTTACGAGTATGCATGCAATGAAAAATACTGCCACAGCGACGAAGATAAAGTGAAAAACATGCGACTATTCCTATCGGGCATAGCAAAGAGGTGGTACGAATGGCGTCTCAACGCTCACAGCAACAAACCATGGACAGAGTGGAAAGCAAGCTTTCTGAGCTCCTTCAGCGAGAACAAGGTGTTGCTATGGGACAAAGCAATCACGTTCAAATACAGGTCTGGATCTGCACTCAGCTATTTTTATGAGAAAGCGCGCTCGCTACAGCTGGCGGACTCATCTTTGCCTGAGACGTCTGTGGTTCCGCTTATCATTCATGGTTTAAGTCCGGACCTCCAGAAGCAAATACACATGCGAGAACCCAAGACGGTCGAAGAACTTCTGCAGGAAATGCGTAACCTCTGCCTCCAGGACCTAGGAACCCAGCGTCAACCCATGACACCTGCTGCAAGGAATACCGGGGCTACACGAGCTGAGGAACGACGCCCGCTTGCAAGCTGGAGACCTACTGCAACACCCGTATCCTTTTTGACCGCCCCGGGAGGCTCAGACGTAACAAAAAACTAAATAGAGAGGGTCTCGGCTTCCACCCGACGACATCAAGAGAAGCTGTTTATTTGTCTCATACAAGTCTTTTGTACATATCCGTTTTTGTGGATGGAAAGGAACGGAGTGCGTTAGTTGACAGCGGAGCAAGCGTCATGGTTATTAACGCAAATATTGTTGAGAGGGCGAAAGTAAAAGAGGGAAGACGAGTAGAAGTACGCTGATACGGTGGAAGACGAGATGTTCACGATAAATGGACTTGTATAACCATATTGTGTCTCGACAACACTATCACTGCGCAAGCACTGGTACTCGACGGAGTTCCGTATGAACTACTGCTTTCACGTCCAGTCATCAGTGCACTTCGCCTTAATATCTACTGGACAGGCGAAATTACCACAGAAGAAAATCGGCGCTGCAGTTTCGCCTTCAAGGACTCCGCGGAAACCATCGTCAGGTGAAGATGTTAGGACGCTTTACCCGGAATCACTGTGCCTAAAAGGATATCCTACAGCAACTACGAAATTTGAGGTTCCATTTCAGCTCAGTGATAGACGGTGGTGAGAAAAAAAGCCCTATAATATGTCACGAGAGGAAAGTGTGGCTTCAGAACGAAATTCAAAAGATATTGGATGCGCAGAT